AAAAAATTCTTGCAGTTTTTATTTTCAATCATGTCAAAAATTGACCATTTCATTGACAAGAGAGATATTTTGATAGTCTGATATTCAATATTTATTTTTTTACACTATCTTATTTTATTATTATCTCATATTCCACGGAATTCGGTGTACTCGCTGTACTGTGGTTATATAAGTAATGATTATTATTGTTTTTTTTCAAAGGTTGCGCTGATCAGGCCCTATTCCTGAAGCACCGATACATTCGGAAAAGGGCGCCAGCATTATCAATCACTGACTACTCCCATCACCTTCGGTAAGTGATCATTGGGTCCAAGAATCATATGCCTTTTGAGCCGAGAATGGCACCTTAGTGCCTTAGTGCGGCAAGCCGACATGATCTCGAGATTCGACAGTACAGTGAGCATTATTCCACCAAGGATCCTAATAATCAAAACAACCATTTTGACAGAGTGGTCTGAATAGATTCTGTGGAGTTCGGAAAACTACATCAGGCTTATTAGCTTATATAAGCTTGGAGGTGAGGAATGAATTGTTTCAATAAACTTGGCACTCCTCGTTCCCCACAACTGATTCAGTTTCCTTCCCCATAGCGTTAATACCATGAAAGTGCTATAGATGGTAATTTCGGCTGAGACCGCAAATGCTGGACATGCTGACAGTGAGTGCACTAGGATCTCAGGCTCCTTGCGGCAGGCCCTGCACCTTGTGTCAGGAACTTCTATATCCATCACGCGACTGCGGTGGTCTGAGGACACGATCCTGGTAGGCCATGTTGAAGCCCTCAGTTTCCCTCTCCAGCCCACTTGACCTGACTAAAGCGAAGGTCAGGCGCTTTGATAGACCGAGGGGGTGCGTTGAACGCACCCCCCTCCAAGGGAGTGCGTTCAATCTCCCGAACCACAAGGCCAGGATTTAGACCTTTGAACGTTAGTCAATATACTTGTTTTCAAGTGGGTTGCCTTTTACAGATGTTTTTTGGGTTTCGAGAATGGAAAGGGATTTCAAAAATTAAAATACCTCGCTTTTAATTTTAAGCGAAATCATAATTCCAGGATTCATTTAAGGCAAACATCACACTTTTCATTTTCGAAAACATAATTACGATCCTCTGACTTTGCGTTTGGTCAGTAAGAAGCAAAAAAATGACCAGTTGGCTATTTTTCCCTAGCGAGGGTTATATTAAAATCACGAACCGGTGTGATATTTCTCTGCCAGGAAATTTGAAATAGTATTTCTTCAAATGCTTTCGACCATATACTTGCTTAAATTCACATTCGTACAAAGTTATTATTTTCTACATATAATTCGACCTATATTGGATTCAAATGATTGCTGTGTGTTTTTATGAAAGGTCAATGTGAAATTACAGATTTTTGTTTATTACGAGCATTGTCGAGAATGTGTTCTCATTGGTATAAAAATATTCCCAAAGATGACTCTGCCTGTAGAATTGTGTGGAAATTCATTAATTTTTTCAATACATTCCAATTTCTTACTTATTATTTTCTAATGATAGTAATGAATGGAAAATGAAATGAAAGGGGCAGGGATGCTGAATTCATAATTGAGAAAAAAATGAAGATGACGACAAGAAAATTGGGTCATTTATACACGATCATTAGATTTGCTACTTTTTTGTAGTTTTTTTAAAAAAAACTTGTTACTGGATTCCAAAAATTGAATGAATATATTTGGTTTCCTCAAAAAAGAAAGGAAGGTTCTTAATTTTTCCATTCTCAAAAATGCCGATGACAACTGTTTTCATGGAATCGAGTAAAATTTAACTACGGATATCAAAGATAAACATATCAAACATTCACTTTTAAAGTGCTGCTGAAGTGGTATTGAAGGCAAATCATAGCTTCGATCAGTTTTTACTCCAATATAGAATTTCGCTCGTTTTAAATTTTTCAACCAATTTCAATAAAAAATTCCTTCGACTCAAAATTGATATTCTCTGTAGATATCAACAACTGTTCATTAAAGAGTTACGAAAGTATTCAAGTATTGTCGTTTAATTTCTTCCTTTCTTCAGTGCGTTGGCCTCTGATTATTTGACCAGAAGAAACGAAGTTATCGATACTGGAAAAAACATTAATATCACGAAATAAGAGTCAATATTCAATTATTGATATTTGAGACGTGTATTGCCTCAACGTGGTACCAACATCAATAAGACATTGAAAAAATAAGATAAATATCTTCTAGAATATACATAAAAAATATCTAAGAGTAAAATCATCTCTGTTGAAGGGTTCAATTATTCATTGATTGGCAGTCATGTAGTATGGAAACAAATAAATTTGTTAATCGGTTTACTATACTGAATTTGAATTTCGATTCCTCTTCTATTTTCTTTTGTGAATCTATATATTTGTTAAACACGGCAAAAATGTATTTTCCCATAGTATGACTTTTGAATTATACAATCTAGATGTCGCATACTTCGGGGTCCTCTCGAAAATGAACGAACCTATATTTTCCAACGAAGGGCACAAATTATACACCACGATTGTATGTTATCTGTACATGCAGGTGATGTACAAAATAGCATAAATACAAAACGATTGTTGGATCTAAATATAGAACAATAATATGGAAACATGGCTTGTAGACGCAGATCAATGTTTCATATCGTGTTACCATGTTCTCATTTATAAAGTATGACGCAAAACTAACCAAAATCTTGGTTTGGCGTTCCAAAAGTAACGCTGCTGTTATATTCATAAAAAAATGGTGACATTCGGAACACGGTTTCCTGAAATTGGTGAACCAAACGTCATCGGCAAATGCTGTAAGGTAGCCTAATGATGGTACTGTCAGAATGAATATGATAATGAATGATCAAACAAAGAAAAAAGTGCAATCTTGACATGTCTAATATATTCTGAAATAATCTAGCTCTGCTTCAGAATAGAAGAAATAGAAAGTTTCTTTTTTATTTTTTCCATGGACAGAACGCAAACACTACAGGAAAATGCTTAAGGCACTTTAAGAGCGGTGCCTATGCAAAATTAGCGATTCACGTTGAATTTTAATAGCTGTAGATTGAATGCTTTTGGAAAAACGTTCTGAGGCAGTTTATTCCACATACACGCAGTTCTTGTCTAGGGTACTGAACTGTAATAAACAGATTTTGAAACTCAAAATTATCAAAGATGATGCCAACTTGGTTAGCGAAACGTGGGGGTGGAAGGACATTATTTCATTCTTTTCATTCTGGTGTGTCAAAACAGTTTCTGATAAATCCATTTCACGCCAGAGGTTGCAGTTCTACAGACCATATTCTAAGACAAAATCAAAAGTGCCAACTGTCAAAATTAAAAGGAGTATATTTTAAGGAAAGATTTTTTTTTGGGAATGAAATGTTTAGTCCTTCTGCTTCTCCATTTTTAAACAGAAAATGTAGAAGTTTCACATTGTTTGTGTAAGAAGAAGTAGAAAGTCAATATCTTTACGAGAGGCTAAATCGCCCAGTCCGTACCAACGTCGCCAAGTGTGCCCAGTTCGTATTTCGCGGGAAATTCAAAATGTAACTCAGGAATTACGCTAATAAAAACGACTTTATAAAAATAAGAGTTTACCGCCAAACAAAAAACATACATATCGAAATGGTAATAATCAACAATATTGGTGGTCACTTATAGCTTGAACTGATTTGTACAAAAATACATCTTCAGGAGCATGTAATAGGTTTTCTGAATTCTCTCTTTACACTTAATAATCAAATTAGTACTCACTTGTACTCCTGTTGCACTTGTAATACACTATTTCACCCATAGTGCTAGCATTCCTATTTTTCAAAACATAATTGTTAATTGTTTGAGTATTTAATTTCCAAATTTCAAAATAAATAAAAATAATTTTCAAAAAAGTCTCTTCTGATTTTAGAATTAACAAACCATTTATAGTTTTCATAACATGGCCCTCTGTTTCAATCTTCAGCAAATGAATTCTCTGCAAATAGTCCACTAAATTTTCATGGGTTTTGAATGCAGCATCACAATCTGCTTCAAGGCAACGGCTATTAAAAGTTGCACCGCATCCCTTCTGAGATGAATTAGATATAGGTTCTGGATTTTTTTGGTGCACTTCTCGTATATGTCTGTTATGAGATGATTGTGTGGCATATACATTCTCACATATACTACATATGACTGACATTTTCTGAATTCAAATTTCTTTACAGGTAGGTAAAAAAAAGGAACCACAGTATAACTAAAACAAGTTCTAACACACAACCTGATTTTTAATAGTTTGTAATTTCCCGCGAAATAGAAACTAGATACACTTGGCAACGTTGGTACGGACTGGGCGGTTTAGCCTATCGTAAAACCTTTCTTTTCCTGTCGATTATCAATTTACGCAGTGCAAGCATTTAGAGAAAAAAAAACACTTTCAATCTATGCAGTGACTGGATTCGGCACATACCGTTTACCACATGCAGCGAGGAACTTTTTTGACTTCTGATTTTTCAAAAGAAGATCGCGAACATTTTTTGCAGATGATGAAATGAAGTTGAATGGAATACAACCACCAAACATGTCATCTTTAAAAAACTGTTTCAAAATTCAGATCAGTGCATGTAGATTCTCAACTGCTGAAAAAAATTGTTCTATTGAACTGAATATGGTCTCAGTGTGATCCTTTATGTCCTAGTGAAACCCTTTATGTCTTCTTGATGTAGGTATTGATGCATGGCGATTAAAAAGTTTAAAACTACTCAGATAATCTGATACATCTTTTGTTTATTGTTCAACTTGAAGTTCATCTTTAGAAATTGAGTGAAGGTTTGATTTTCTTCTGCGCTACTGCCAACATTGAAAACTTCCATGCTTTGTTAGAATATTTTTGAAAAGGAGAGCGATGTATTTTTTCATTCGTTAAAAACTTTGATATAATGAATACGAATATCTACTGATGCTAATAGGTTACTCAATCAGTGACTAGGAGGAAGAGAAATAACACAGGTTTTAGAAAACATTTTTTGTATTGTAAAAATTCTCTTAGAGGATATATAATTATATACAAATAAAAGCATATATAATATGATTATATTTCAACTGAATAATATAAATCTATGGGTGTTGATGGAACTGAGGTTGAGGTATATAAAAATTGAACTATTGTAATAAAAATGAGCAGAATGGAAAGAAATTCATGTAAAAAACGGCAGTGAATTGTGGTTTGATGATCTGGATATGTACAAGATATTTACACTATTAACATTAAAGCGACTATTTTTTTGTAATGTACTACGTCTGTCCAAATATTGTAGAAAAAATTTGGGCAGACGTGTACATCGTTTTATGCCCAAGCATATTAGGTACATGTATTGCCTTATAAAATATTTTTTTTATTAATTTTAAATCACTTTCGATCACTTATCAATTGAATAATATACATTGCAGAATCACAAAAAATGCAAATACAAGTAATCACATACCAATTCGAACTAGTTACTAAGAATTATAACAAAACAGTATAAGTAGTTGGATAAATAAAACACACATAACTATTATAATTATTAAGTTAAGTTGAATATTCCACGCTGAAGTTGCATTGATTGATAACCCACAGCGAGTTCAGAAGTACCAGTCTGTTAGAATGTGAAACTCTCCACCAAATCCGGGCTGAAGTCTTCACAGTCTGAACTACCTTCTAGGTCTCGCCATGAACGTTATTTGACAAGTCTATACAGGGTCTCTACAGTCAGAGTGTGTTAGGATTAAGTTAGGTTATTGCTCATAACTATGGGCATGCAGTCTTCGAACAAATCATCTGTAGCACAAATTTCGTCGAATCGAAACAGTTCGCTGGTAAGTGAGATTCTAAAAAGTCCATCAAGAAAAGGCAGCCAAAATTTCAAAAGTTTGAACAATCGGAGCGATCATAAACTCAATTTGTGCGGCAGGACGAAAGTTACAGCTATCGGACTGAGTCTGGCTGGTGGGAGAAATCGTATCTGCGTAGAGTTTGGATCAGTGTATGACGAAGAAAGTATTTGAAAGAAGGAATGGAAACTTTTGTTTGAATGTTTACGGCTCGAATAATCTGATAGACTGATAACAGATTTCTACACATCTACTGCACATCTTGAGGGAGGGGCTTCCCACCGGCCATGATTCAGTCCGGCAGCTGTATATCAACCGAAAAAAAGTCGAATCAGGAACAACATGTGTATATACAAATGACTATGGGTGCTGATTTTTGCATAATATCCCAATCAACCAAGGAAATGGCTCAACAATTATATAAAAGAAGTTTTAAAAATAATTTGAAAAAACTAATATTGCACCATACTTCAAGACCTGAATATCCGCATTCAGAAAAAAATCTAAGTGTGTCAACTTGAAATCTCTCCTAGTCTAAGTATCTTCAAGGCGTTGAATATTGCACATGACTCTACTTTGAAGGAGGGGGCAGATTTTGAGAAAAAACCACAAATTTTTTCAGTTTTTTTACTGTCAGTGCAAAATCTAAAAAAAAATTAAAATGGTAGGCACTGACTGTTTCAATACTTTTGCAGTTCAACTAAAATACGTCTATACATTTTCTATTATTCTTCTGTGCATTAGAATAATCCTCAAAACAAAACAAATTGAGGATGAAAGTTTTCAAATCGACACACTATATATTTATCAAAATCAAACTCATCTCTTTGTTCCCGCCATTCACTCTTCAACCGTTCTAGTTGACTGGTCTAATAACCCAATAACAAAGGGCCTCATCGACAAAAAATACAAAGATTTTATGGCCGCCTGCGCTGAATCTATCATTATTCTCTGCTCCAACAACGATCACACTGTGACTTTTCCCTTCAGCGCAAGCAGCCCTTAAACACTATGGTTCTCACTTAAAGCGTAATTTATTGCCTTCCCCCGAAGTTTTCCATGGCGCTACATCCATTTACCGCTCCATTTTGTTATTTTGGAAACGCAGGGAGACCATCAAGACTTGATATATTTTTCTCAGTGTAATATCTATCATCAAGCGCCCTGTGGTCAATTTTACACTGAGAAAACCAAGACTATCACGTGATCGTAAAATTACACCACTGGCCCCTCTACCCTTCCCTATGTTATGCATTCTGGTAAAGCACAGATAAATTATAATATTCTAGAGTTTTTAAGGTACACTTTAAAAAAATGTTTATGGAAGCTCTCTGTTTATCACTGGCGTTCGTGCGTTTCAAAAATGCACGTCGTGCACGTCTGTTGGGGTGAGTGCAGCCTCGTGCTCTTGATTTTTTCCGGGAGGGGGAGTGAATTCCCCTGGCCTGATGTTATCGCAAGGATTCACTTCGCTAGACTGGGTGGCTTGATCACAAGTCGAGTCTCTGATCATTTTGTCGATCTGGTTGAAGCACTCCTCGACATAGTCCTGAAAATAAAAGATGAAAATATTATATTTACCTACGAAATAGTTACATAGAAAATTGAGATTGATATGGCAAAAAACATCATTATTCTACAGAACTCTAGGTTCATTGTTTTTAAAACCTAGAGAAACACCAACACAAAGGATATTACCTGATATAACTTGGGTTACATCCAATGGGTTAATATCCAATATTTTAAAGGTAATATCCAAGAATTTATAGGAACATATGGATGAAAGGACAGGATAAATACCTGCACTCAGGCATTCTAACCACATAAAAGAACAAACAAGAAGATAAAATGCTCAGTTTGAGTGGAACCATAAAGATGATGATAGCACAGTCTGCTATCAAAAGCGCACGGCCATCTTCGAAGCCCTGCTAAAACAAAGCTTTAGTTGATTTTCAGTTAACCCTGACCTTTAAAAGATACGTGTACAACTTTCACAGCTATCGACTAATTAGTTTTTGGGATAAAACATTCACAAATTGATAAAAAGGAATACAGTGTATTGATAAAGCAGTGCTTTTTGTTGAAAAAAAAAACTCTTGAAGCCAAGGCTTGGCTTGATAAATATTATTCGGACTTCGCACCAAAAAAATATATATTTTAATTACTTTAATTATTGTATCGCCCTCGAAGATAACTATATTGAATAATTTTATAAAAAAAATATGTTAGGGAAAACATTTGTGAAGAAATATTTCAACAATTTCTAATCTGACGTATATGACTCCGCGAGATCAGCATTTAAAACGTTAATGAATACTTTTGATTAGCACTTTGGCACCTTGAAAAAATTAATTTACCGTTAAGTTCATCAGACGTCATTCGACCAATCACCTCAAAATTTTAATGAGTTCTTCAAGTTGCGTCATCCCATATCTAGATTGAAATAAAGACTAGAATATGATTCTTAGGTAGTTCGTCTACAATGAGTCTTCGATTGACAGTTAGAAATGCTCTAAATGGCTTGTCTTACAAAAAAAACAGTCTGTACCAGAAATCTCTCTCTCTCTCTCTGAAATTAATTTTTCAATTTCCTCAAATACATGTAATCAACATTCCTGGTACATTGAGGGTTTACCAAACCATAAAAGTTGTTTGTTTCCCAACCTATGCGAGTGTCCGGAGTTATAAGAGAGTGTGTGTCCTGCCGATATAAAAGAGATGTCTCTCAGTGACCTGTCCACCTTCCTGGAAAGGACAGGATGGACGATGACCCAAGAGGACAACTCCTCGGGAAGATGTACAATGGGTCACATGTGGCCTGAGTGCTATTGGCTTACACTCACCCTCCCTACTCTACAGGTACAGAGATTTGTTTCCCAAATAGCAGAAAAGTACAGTAACATTGAAAATAATGAGTTAGCGCTTTCTCAGAAACCGTGACATGTATTACACTGTAGTGAAACACGTAAACTGTCAACTGAAAATTAACCTGAATAAGATCGGGGCTAATAACCGTGGTCGAATGGAATACGAAGTACCAACAACTGAGGCTTCGAGATATAACTTGCATCCATACACTCAACATGCCAGTGATGATGTCTGCCGCAGTAGCAGACGAAACGTTAGGTACTTCAGTTTCTATTCGACCACGGACTATTCCAGGATTTTGTTCTTTTTGGTCGTGACTTAGGCCGTGGAAATCTGTATTCTGATAGTAAAATCTCACGAAGTGTTATAATGAATTTTTATCAAGTATCAGCCACGCTACACACAGTAGTATTCATTAATTTTATTTTGTCTTCAAGAATAACTTTTGGTACAATTGTGCTCTCTAATTAAAATATAAATGATTGCTGATAATATCGGTGTAGAAAAATCCGCATATCCTGAAATTGAGGTCGGGTGAGGTGTCAGTTGAATAAACAGCGATTAGTTGATGAATTAGTTTATGCCAAAATATGACATTAATAAAAACAATTACCGAGTCAAGACCCCAGATTTGTTAGCCTTCAAAAGCGACCGTAATGAGAGTCATCTCATCGACCTGTCAACGATAAAAAACAGTAATATATCATTTCAAATTCAACAGTCTTATGCAATACAATAACGGGTAACTTATCATATTATTTTGAATATAATTGCAACGAACGGGTCAAAAGATTAACTACGAGGGTAAATGAAAAATTACACAGCGTTTTATCGGAGATATAAGTGATAAAAGGACAAGTTAAGGTCAGGATGTTTCATGGACATTATGAACTTCTTTAAAATACGATCCTAGAAAGAAAGTCAATTTTCTTTTCACTTCTGTGATGGAGACTTTTTTCTCAGCATCAGGATCTACAATTATATATTCATCTAGCGAAGACCTCATTATGACTACATTTTTGAAAGTCAAATCAATTTTTAAATAACTAGCTTTTCTGATCAAATGCAAATAACTGATACAAACATTCAGTTTCCACTCCAACAATGTCTTGTATGACTATTTTTGTGTTGTCATTCTTCCTGTTTCGAAAATTCATAGTTGTTTCAAAGCGTTTCTGTATATTTTGCGAGCCCCTCGTATCTATGGATATAGCTGATATGGCTTATTGGTGATGAGGTTTTAAGGGTTCCGGTTAATGCCCTATCAACCGGATGTTGCGGTGATAATATGTATGTGAAGAAAATAAGTACGTGAGTAAACCAGATTATTTTCAATACCGGGATATTTATAGAAAATATATTTTAAATTGATTGAGTGTATTACAACATAAGAGTAGTGATAATTTTTTCCAGATTCATCACCAGGCTTATCAAAAATGTGTTGAGCTGAATTCATTGGTCATCAATGCTCAAAGGTAATTGTTACAGATGTAGTTTAAGTAAAAAAAAACACCATCCCTTCAATGAAATCAATGGATTCAGAAATGATTGAAAATTTATTTGTTATTTGTTTATTGTTAGGTCCATCATATTATTTGTTATTTGTTTATTGTTAGGTCCATCATGTTTGGTGCTATCTACAGAGGATGGTATGGTATTCACATTTTATTTAAACTTTATTTAACAGGGATCAAGATGCACAAGATACTATAAAATTTGCTGATGTTTGGATTGAATTGGTGTCTCAAGAGTTTGGATATAGAAAAAACTCAAATTCTATAAGAAGAATTCTATCAGGTACAACCCGACCACAGACTCGTAGTTTTATTGAATAATGTTCAATGAAAACATGTTTATGGTTTGTTATGTCAATTTAAAGTTAGGTCAAATTGATTTTTTTCTGATCATACATACTTGGTTGACGAAGCAAGTGGACAAACATGAAGATTTTCCGCTCAAAACTGAAATTGATAGAATATTGAATGCTGGTCTTTTGAGAAGATTCGTGTCTGAAAACAGCAGAAAAAACAAGATATTTTTTGGAGTAGCTGTTAACTCATAAATTACCAAAATTTATGAGATAAAATGAAGAATTGCATATAAATAGTGGAAAAATAACATTAGACTAGTGTTACAAAGATAAAGATGTCACAATAATAATATGAGATAGAGTTTTTATTTTTTAGTTAAGATTTTTGGTCTCTGAATTCTTTTCTCTAATTCCATTTGTTTGAGTTATGAAGTAATTCGTAGAATTATTTTAGCAGAGGATAGGAGAGTTTTTGACGAAAAATTTTCATGAATATTTGCCAGTTAGTCGAATCATTGATGATGTTGTTTTTAAATTATTTTATAGCGCTTCTTTCATGTATTTGAAAGTCTTATTTGGAGTAGAGTGTCCAAGACCGTTTATTGATGTTTAGGTACCATGTAAAGTTTTGAAAACTCTCCAATGTCAACTATATAATCACGACATACAAAAAATTTAAACTGGCCCTAGAATAGATCCTTGTGGTACACCTCAGTACATTTTTGCCGTTTTCATGAATTGTAAGGACAAAAAGTGGATTCAATTCAACCGACACATTCAGTAGAAGAATCATGTGACTTACCTTCTCTATATTCGTTATCTCAGTCAGCCTCTGCAGCAGGTCTTGAAGGGTACGTCCGCTTTTGCCCACCCACCCCACACCGCACAGCGCAGACGTGATACTCGCACATGCGATGATGCTTGGGTGGTACCTCGAAAATGTGAACTCTGCAAAAAAGAAAAAGAAATGCGCTCAAATATCTGCGAATACAGTTTTTATTGATAGTAAAGGGAATTACGGTCAATTTCGGCGCAAACGTCGACGTAATTTGGTGGGCAGAGCTGTGCATGTAGAAACGGCAGAGAAATTGCCTCTAAATTATTGGCTGAGTGACCGCCGACAAAAAAAACGGCGAAATGTGATGAAAGCGTTCTTCGCCGACTGAAATGGGAATTGGAACCTGAGGGCCTTCGTACAGACGTTGAAAGACGTGTTTTATTAAAAGGTAGGTTAGCACTGAGGATGCTAGTCCACTGTAGCTGCATATGTTTCGGAAAAAGTAAATGTTTTATTTTGTTTAATATCAATGCTGATGAAAACGTCGGTGTTTTAAGATACTTTTCAACAATAACTGAAATTTTACATATACGAAATGAACTCTGTTTCTTATCTAAACAAAATCTGCCAACTATGAGTACAATAGATTCTTGCGGTCTGAAAACAAAGTCAGTCTCAACAACATACCACTAATGATGGATTCCGCAGTAGCGGACGAAACGTTCAGTACTAAAGGTCAATTAGACCACAGACAACCAGCCCGGAGTTTATTTTTTCTAAAAACATGTTGGGTTTCAATTTCCTGCCAAAATAATCAAAAAATATCACGAGGAAATTTTTTTTCAAATTGTTCCTACCCCATTAGCAAACATTCAACTACATAAGATTATTTTGCTCATTTTCTGTAAATCGCATGACTATTGTGAAATTAGACTCAAATGAACTTATAAAAATGTTTAGTTTTGACCGCACTTTATTTCAGACATATGTTTTTTGAAGTGTTGGCCCGACTCACGATCGGAAGATGGTGGGTTCGATTCCTGCCTCGACCAGATATTTTTCTCGAGAGAATTTATCTGGTTGAAGCTGGAATTATTCTGCAACCGTGTTAGGAATCACACGTTAAAAGGTAAGACCTCGTTAGTCCTTAGCTCGCACAAGTTTCTCAACTTCTGAGAGTTGTCGTTCGTATGGAGGCGACAGCTGATTTACGGAAAAACAGATTTTAAACAGATTTATTGTGCTATAAGAAGTTGCCATTTGAATTTCGATAAATGAAATGCAAAGTTTATTTGTTTTAACTCTTCATGAAGTCCTTCCTTGAGAAATAGATTTTTGGAAAAGGAGCTTGTGCCTCCACGTATAACATTTTTGACACAAAATGAAAGAGTGAAGCTTTACTGTACATTGCAGAAGATTAACTAGGTATACATAATAAATTTGAAGAGAATCACTTTTCAGACAATGGATATACGAGTATTTGACTATTCTTGAACGTTTTGCTTACTTTGTATATACCAGTGATTCATATCTCAAAAGCTTCCTAGTATTTTATCTACATATTTCGAATATTTTTGAGTGGAATTCCAGAATATACAATTATATTCCTGTACAAGTCTTGAGTTCTTCTTAAAATCGAGACATTACTATTAAATAACTTGAATGAAACTCAAATCATTTAGTAAAATGTCACTACTGTGGACTATGATTTCTTATAAAATGTTTTCTTCAAATCAGTGATTCTTTAGCCTCATTTCAACCTTAGTAGAAATTCAACTAAGAAGTATGTGAATTAAAAAATTTTCAATGGAACAAATTCGAACACAAGAACTCATCTTCTACAACTTTACTATGCGCTGTCAATCACACTGCATCACAAAAGACACAAATAAAACTTTTGAATGAAATCTACATACTTCAGACACCCTTCCTTAGAAAAAAAAATCGATAAAATTTCAAACATTTCTTTATTCATTTGCCCTATACAAACACACAATGACTGTTGAGAAACAATTGTTTCCTTGAACATGACAGATATTGAACTACATCTGACAAATATTTTGCAAGGATGTTATTCTTAATTGTTGTTCTTATTTCGCAGAAGAAGGCATTTTTGAAACTTTGAACTCAAACGGTTGAATACATGTGGACCGGTTTTGGAATGATTGAATCCACATTTTCAAAATTCCTCTATATAATTCATGGAATTCTGTATTTTTGAGAAAATTCAAGCATTTCATGTAAAACTTTTGATGGTACTCCATAACTTATTGAATATTACTGGATTTATTCCAACACCAAACGTATTGAGGTGTTATAATTAACGGTTTGGTACCTCTGTTGGAATCAAGCGGATCAATTGTCAGTCACTTTCCGATACAACCGTTTTCCGCTGTTTCATTTTACCAAGGCTTCTTGGTAAGTTTGCGTCTTCAATCAGATGGTTGGCTCTTTTCCAGAGGTTCATATATGTGATCATTAAATACTCTGAAAAAGGTCTGGCATCCAGTAACGTAATTATCCAACATGACGGCCAGCAAATTAATCGACAAATTGTGTCGTCTTACGTTGTTATTCCCTGGTATACCACATTGACCTTGAAGAAAACTGATGCCTCGGTTTTCCTAGCATTCAATTTAACTTAATTAGTTTCATCCCAATAAAAAAAATTTACAGATCTTTTACGACATGAACCTTCTTATGGGACATCAAGATGAAAAAAAAGACACGTGCGATGTCGTAATCAAACCAATATACATTTGTATTTGTTTTCTAGTCTTGCCCAATGGGTAGTTAAGTAAGTAGTTACTGGTTTGTTACCTCAAGAAGTGATATCTATTGTGATATATTCCTACTGAGTTTTGAAATTTATGGAAGCAAATATTGTAACTATCTGAAAATTGATATAGAAATACAAAGCATGTGAATTTGTTGTGTGATCAGGAGAGACACACGGCCTGGGCTACATCCAAATTATTTCCTGAATGTTTATCGCCAATTGAGAATTCCTCTCGCCGATATCCGAACTCATGCTGGATTTACCGGCAGGGAAAAAGTTCAACATGCCGAGACCTTGAAAGCGCACCGTCTTTGGATCGTGAGAATGTTGCAGCGCCAGAACGCATTCCATCGGCGAACTGCGGCCAGACTGCTACAACTTTTTATGGGCCCATTTAAATAAGAAGGATATCACATTTGCCCTTATTCGTTGCTGCTGCAATTTACAATAGACGTAACTTATACTTTAATTTGTAATCGTTAGTACGTTTCGAGAGCGAATTGCCCGCTGAGAAAGAGAGATAAGCGGAATCTTTCTGCAACACTGATATAGTCGATCTAATCGCACTCGGCAAGAAGGTTGGGAATCAAAACGCGCAGTTCGAAATGAAGTATGTTGACCGGTAACACGACCAGTACTACGAATAACGATATTTTTAATAAACTGCTAACATTAGCGAAGCATGACACGGGATGTCTCACTCATGGTCGATTTATACTGTAAGTGTAAGGTTTGAAGTGGTTTTAAATATAAAGTTTACTATTATTGAAACCGCAGGTAATCTTTCGTTTATGTAGAAAATTAAATACAAAGGAATAGCAAAAGTAAATGTCACAAGAATTTCAACTCATGTTTCAGCTGAAATAATGCAAAAAAAACGTAAATAAAATTGAAAAAATAATATGAATCGCTGCCACGCACTTGGATCATGCATTAGTACTAAGGGCATTCTGCTGCACTGAAAATGATATGCCAAGATAATAGTTATTTTTGAAAAGCTAACAAATTCATAATAAATGAATGTAGTTAGCTTTTCAAAGTTAGTTGCTAACTTGGAAGTGAGATCCTTTTACAGATATCAAGGAATTCATTCTTCAAAACTATCATTGGTTACCGAATAACATTCTTCGTCTCTTTGGCAGAAGCAGAGAAAATTGCTGAAGATTTTGTGTTTTCCAAAAACTTCTCAAACACCCTCTTTTCAACTCAAAAGAAATTCCTAATAGTTATTCCTACGGTATCGATGTTCCTACCTAGTCATGGTAATAGGAGCAGAATTATCTCCTCCAATGACATAAAATCTTAATCTTTTGCGAGAAATGTGTATTTTCGACTGTCAAAAAGGTGCTGATGATAATTCAAAGATAAAGACGTGATAGCTACAGCAAAACCCAGTTTAGGATTTCGGACTAATCATTTCTCGAAAGTCTTCATTGATAAAAAACGAATTTTTTCATAGTTATCTAAGATTAGATTTTTAGTGTTGAACCGCAAAATAAACTCCTTATCAGCCCTCATTTGTTTGATAAAATTTTCATGAGAGTATAAATCAGTTTTTTCATTCACTACACCCCACGATTTGATTTCCACAAACTTTATTTGAAAAATATATCACGACATGTTTAGCTAACACAGTAGCTTCTTCTTTTCAACAGTGATTTGAATGTATTCAATGTGAATGTATTCAAATCACTGTTGATGAAGCTACTGTGTTAGCGAAACATGTCGCTGTATATTTCTCAAGTGAAGTTTGTGGAGATCAATCGTCGTTTATGAAATTACTTTGGATCTTCATCAAGTAACGGCCGAATCAACCAGAAAAAAAAATCAGTAGTAGCACACTGATGACAGAAAAATTATGTTCACTTTCGTGAATATAGATTATTTTACAGTTGAATGTAGGACAAAAACATGACACAAACAAATAGTGAAGAAAGAAAGAGCTAGTGAAGTCATTATAGATGGGTCTAACGTGTTGGGCTATTTATAAAATATTCAGAGAAAGTTTATTGTCTCAAAAATCTGTCCACTGTCTAATAAGTTGTGCAATTTGGAGATTGTTTGCTAGAAACAATAACACTAATTAATTGTGGAAGCAATTGGTATATTCAGAAGCAAATATATCAGCCTCCAATGAAGCTTCAAGTAACAAAATTCGTAGATGAACAACGGAACAGGCTTCAACGTAGAGCTTTGAGGAACTCCAAACTAAACAAGCTATGTACTTTCTCATTTTGAGTCAATTAGCACGGCTCAAGGTCCATCATGAGCCAGTACGACCCTGGAAAGTCAGCGGTTAGAATGAAAAGAGTAAATTCATTCACGCACAACACAACTTCGTTAAATTGTTGCCAATAAAAGGCCTGACAAAATATTCTCGGCATATTATTG